CATTTGCCTCTTACTATGACAAATAGTTACCGCCAAAATTAACCCAAAAGCAGTTAAAGACCTGTGTCTCAACAAGAGCCCCAAGCTCTCGGGGCCTTGGAATTCACCAGGGTCTTTACTATGGTGTTTGTCCGCTGCCGGGTTTTGTTTTCTAGGTTTAGATGCACATGCCTCTGAACAGTATGTAGCAGTTTCACGTCCGGAAACCTTAAAGTACTTAGTGCCTGTACTTCCCCCCAGACTCGATGTGTTTACAGCTCTAACACTGACAACTGAGTGGCTCTGAAAAGAGCCTTTGGGTCAGGAGTGAGGCCGCGTGCTCGCGCCTCACTTGGAGCTGGTGTACTTGGTGACGGCCTTGGTGCCCTCGGACACGGCGTGCTTGGCCAGCTCGCCGGGCAGCAGCAGGCGCACGGCCGTCTGGATCTCGCGGGACGTGATGGTCGAGCGCTTGTTGTAATGCGCCAGGCGCGACGCCTCGCCCGCGATGCGCTCGAAGATGTCGTTGACGAACGAGTTCATGATGCCCATGGCCTTGGACGAGATGCCGGTGTCGGGGTGCACCTGCTTGAGCACCTTGTACACGTACACCGAGTAGCTCTCCTTGCGGCTGCGCTTGCGCTTCTTGCCGTCCTTCTTCTGCGCCTTGGTCACGGCCTTCTTGGAGCCCTTCTTCGGGGCGGGCGCCGACTTGGCGGGCTCGGGCATGGTCGGGAGTTCAGCGGGGGTGGTGGGCAAGAGAAAAGTGAGAGCGGAGCACGCTGTGTCCTCTTTATATAGAACCTCGCATGCAAATAAGGAGATAAAGCAGAGCCCTGTGTCTGTTGGCTCCGGAGAGCAAGCTCAAAACCTGGCTCTGCCCAATCAGAGCGCCAGAATCCCAAACTTGCACGTTCACTGGTTTAGATGCAGCTGAAACCTGAACCAATGACACAGCTGCTTCTTCGCGCCACAAACGTTTATAAAAAGTGCCGCCCGCGCACTTCCGTTTTTGCAGCCACTTGCAGTGAAGTTTGTAGCCAGAATGTCCGGCCGCGGGAAGCAGGGCGGCAAGGCGCGCGCCAAGGCCAAGACGCGGTCCTCGCGGGCCGGGCTGCAGTTCCCCGTGGGCCGAGCGCGTCGGGGCGGGCGCGCCCGTGTACCTGGCGGCCGTGCTGGAGTACCTGACGGCCGAGATCCTGGAGCTGGCGGGCAACGCGGCGCGCGACAACAAGAAGACGCGCATCATCCCGCGCCACCTGCAGCTGGCCATCCGCAACGACGAGGAGCTCAACAAGCTGCTGGGCAAGGTGACCATCGCTCAGGGCGGCGTGCTGCCCAACATCCAGGCCGTGCTGCTGCCCAAGAAGACCGAGAGCCACCACAAGGCCAAGTGAGGAGAAAGCAGGTTAGGAACCCGGACAACAAAGGCTCTTTTCAGAGCCACGTACACTTTCAGAAAAAGCTGGAACGGTAACTTGTCCTATTCTCTCGGCAAGTTTCCATTGTAGCATTTAACTCCAGTGGAAGTTAGAGTTTGATTTGTTGATTTAAAATATGCGGGCGTTCCTGAAACCCACGCTGGTAAATTCCTGGCCCTGTTTCTGCGGGACAGCTGTGTTCATGCCCTGAATTCCAGCAGGTGAGGATACAGCAAGGAATGCAACCTTGGGAATTGCCTGCCTACGAACCCAGGTGGGGGAAACAAATAGGCACAATGCAGCAATTTAGATAGAGAATAAGTGGAGGTAAACGCTGTAGGTAAAGGGGCTGCATGACCAGGGTGCTACCTAAATGGAGAAAAGGAACCAGCCCAGCAGATGTTAGGCGAAGAGGACTCCAAAGAGGTGAAAATGCAAAGGCCCTAACAGGAAATGTGTTTGGTTCTTGGGAACAGTCCATGAGGCTATGAGGTCAAAGGTGGGCATGGGGGTGAAATGGGACCATAAATATAAGACTTTGTGGGGTGTGTAAATTATGCACAATTATTTAGCTGGGCTGGTGTGGCTCCGTGGTAGAGCATTGACCTATGAACCAGGAGGTCACAGTTCTATACCTAGTGAGGGCACATGCCCGGGTTGTGTCCCCAGTGTGGGGCGTGCAGGAGGCAGCCAATCCATGATTCTCATCATTGATGCTTCTCTCTCTCCCTCTCTGAAACCAATAAATATTGAATACAATAAAAATAACATTAATCCTGATCTCTGACATAATAAATTTGATAATACAAATTAGCTATGGAATGCAACCCACTTTTTAAAAAAAGACACCAGAGAAACAGTATTAATGTTAGCCTGTGGTTCACAGCCTGAAGGATTTGAGGGGAAATGGTTTGTAATTCAGCACATAGGTCCGTTTGTTGCTTGTCTTTGCAGAAAGCCTGTTGAGTAAAATGATAACACAGCAGACCCCTCCACACAGACACACGGTGATGCAATAAGGCAAGTCGGGTTGTGTGGAAGCAGGTGCTGAGACGGAGTTTGAAGTGGAAAATGATTATCAGGGCCCCAAATCTGTGAAGGGAGGAGTGTCAGACTGACACAGGCCAGATAAACATGGGGAGCTCCGGAGCCAGTATTGTCTGTTAAGAGGTGCCCCCACATTAGCTCTGTCCCTGGACCAGCCATTACCTCCCCACATTGCCCGTCACTGGATGTGGGAAGGACAGGGAAGGAGCTGTCTGCACTTGGCCGGTGCGTCTTTCCTTCAGGGGGAAGTCTGGGCGCTGCATTCGCATCCCTGAAACAGGTACATTAACATGAATAGAAAGGCCAACATGGTGCCCTGGCTGGTTTGGTTCAGTGGATAGCTCGTCGGCCTGTGGACTGTAAAGGTCCCGGGTTCGATTACAGTTAAGGGCACATGCCCAGTTTGTGGGGTCGATCCCCAGTAGGGGGCGTGCAGGAGGCCACTGATCCATGATTCTCATCACCGATGTTTCTATATCTCTTCCTAACTCTCTGAAGTCAATCAAAATATATAGTAAAGATCAACATGGAGCATTGTCTATATTGGCCCTTTTTAAAAAAAATATTTTTATGCCCCGACCTGCGGGGCATGCAACGTGGGTACCGTGACGATTCCTGTAAGGGAATGAGAGGATAGGAGACGCGAAGAAATGGAGGCAAGACAGGGTTCTGATCAAGCCTCAAATTTTATTTTTACAGCAGCAGAATATATACTGTTTTGGGGACGGGGGTGGGTGGAGAGGCCTATGGATATCAGCCTATCAGCAGGGTGGTAGCAGGTTCAGGAATGTGGCAGCTGTAGCTTATCAGCAGGGTTGTAGCAGGCTCCGGATGTGGCGGTTGTTGCTTCAGGGTATAGGATGGTTATCTTTAGCTGCTGGCCAAATCGCAGGACACACGTGGTTTCTGGTAACTAGGAGTTTCTAGAGGAACCTGAAGCTTATAGTTCTTAAGATGGCTTTGTCTAAGCCAACATCTCTAATGGCTCCCAACATTTTTATCTCCACACTGAGGATCGAGCCCACAACCTAGGAATCGAACCGTGATCTCCCTCCTGGTCCCTAGACCAGAGCCACGCAGGCGAATTGCAGACAAAAGGACCTCAGTTTGCCTTCGAGGGGGGCGGGGAGGGAGTCCTGTGGTCACTGGTCCCTCCAGGGATCAGACCCCGGCCCTTCGGGGTGTAAAGCAGTCGTGCTAACGCTGCACTAAGGACCACGCACAGGAGGTCATGGTTCGATTCTCGGTCAGGGCATGTGCCCTGGTTGTGGGCTCGATCCCCCTTCCTCTCTGAAATCAATAAGAAGATATTAAAAGAGAGAGAGAGAAAGATGGGAGGGAATTAAAGGATGCCACCCCAAAATACATGTGCCTCTGGCATTTTGACTATTTTGAATGCGAAGCACTTGAAAACAACAGATTTTTTTAAAAGGCATCCTGTGCAATTACATAAAACTGAGGAGGCTTAGATAACAAGGTGTGGGCGCTACATGAGCACCCACACATCCTGGACACCCTCACCAGACCAAAGCTTTGGGCACTGGAAGACACTCCCAACAGAATGTCACATACAGACCAGACATGCATCTAGGTCTCCAGGTGGATCCATGTCTCGAATGGGAAAAAAAAAACCTAAGCATTTTTTTGAGAGAATATGTATAACCTAGTAACAGGAGGACCTGTTAAGCCTAACCTCAAGAAGTGCAAGTCCTGCCCTAGCGGCTTGGCTCAGTGGATAGCGCACAGGCCTGCGGACTGAAGGGTCACGGGTTTGATGCCAGTCAAGGGCACACGCCGGGGTTTCGGGCTCAATCCCCAGTAGGGGGCTGGCAGGAGGCGGCCAATCAATGGTCCTCTCATTGATGTTTCTATCTCTCCCTCTCCCTTCCTCTCTGAAATCAATAAAAATATTTTTTAAATGTTCTGATCACAGGAACAACAACAAAATACAAGTCCTAAGTGGGAGGGGAGACAAATTATTGACAAAATTAGGCTCCTGCCATTAACTTTCTCCACCGACAAAGTTGATCCGACAGGGCAGGCACTATTGCAAGGCCTAACATTCCCGGCAGACTGACCAGTCTGCAGTGCACGCCTGCACACCAACATGGAAAAGGCAGCCTCCGTTTCTACTGCGGCCCTAATTTTTTAAGGTAACGCTAACTGGATGACGTCTCAGTGTTTTCAGTGCTGTTCCTCAGGGAATGCTTCTTTCGAAAAAGAAACATCAGCCTCAGTAAGAACGCGGCAAACGATAAGCTGAATGTGCTGAGGCTGCAACTCGATGGCTGAGCGGCCGCTCCACGCCTTTAAAGAACGTGAACACAGACCTTAAGGGCAACGATGGGAGCCTCAGCCCAGCTCCTCGATCACGAAGTCGGAAGCGGGGCCACGTGAGCCGGGCAGGCTGGAGGGACACGCGGAGCCGGCGCGGGGTGGACAGCAGAGAACACACGGGAGCTAACCCTTCTGCTCCTGCCCGTGTATCCACGCGGCCTTCACACAGCGCATAGGGCGCTGGCCGGGGCGGTCACCTGTGGCATCGGGACCGGGGCCTGTGCATCCATCCCTGGGACCGGGAGCCCCTGTGCGTCCATCCCTGGGACCCGGGCCTGTGTGTCCATCCCTGGGACCGTGGGCCTCTGTGCGTCCATCCCTGGGACCGGGGCCTGTGCATCCATCCCTGGGACCGGGAGCCCCTGTGCATCCATCCCTGGGACCGGGGCCTGTGTGTCCATCCCTGGGACCGTGGGCCTCTGTGCGTCCATCCCTGGGACCGGGGCCTGTGCATCCATCCCTGGGACCGGGAGCCCCTGTGCATCCATCCCTGGGACC